CATGATCGCGGTTGATGGTATGCAAACCTCTAAGAAGCATGGACGCGAGCGCGAGCTCGATGACACCAACACCCTGCACTGACGCACGCGAGAGGAGGGGGAGGGAGGGGGAGGACGGGGAGGAGGGGCGGAGGGACTTGACACGGGGTGTGGGCAGGGAGTGCTGACGGAGATTGATCGTGTGGAGATCCCGGAGCTGGACGAGGAGGAGGTAAGGGGAGGATGAGATCGAAGGAAAGGAGTGCAATTTGATTTGGGTGATGTGGCGGAGCTGGTAGAGGGGAAGGTGGAGGAGACGTCGTTGATCAAGGTGGCGGTTTTTGAAAGAGTGTGTGATGGGGAAGGGTAGAGAACTGGAGGAGGAAGAGAGGTTTAGGTTGTTGTTGGGTTGTTGTGAGAGTGGTCTCCTTGATATGGGTTCATGTTGTAATTTCTGCTCAGAAATCTGTTCCGATGCAGCTGAAGCTTCAAAGATCGAGCAAGGTTGGTTGAGTGGAGGAGGGGAAGGAGGAGGAGGAGGAGGAGGAGGAGGAGGAGGATGAGGAGGGTGCGGTGGTTCACTTGCGCTCAGGTCCTCCCGTCCCAGCAGTCCATCCGTCTCTCCGTTTCTTCTCTCCTGCAGCATGTCAAATCTCCTGCCAAGGTCGCTAGACGCCTTCATTTAGCTGGATGGCCTGACGCCGCCCGTAGGTGTCTCACTCGCGCCGCATAGCGTCTGAGCTGCTCGCCATCGTGGACGCGCATCCTGAGGCGAGGGATCTGATCGCCGAGAAGCTCTCGAGCTACCAGCAGAGGCTCCAGCTCAGGGCCCAGCAGAAGCTCACGGACGCGGACAGCACTCACTTCCCCCCGACGCGGACGATCTCGACAACTTCTTGCAGAGTGTCATCGACGAGGTGAGATCAGGCGAGTCCCTCGCCCCCTCTGACCCGCTTGCTCCAGCTGGACCGTCAGCAGGTCCCCCAGCTGGACACAGGGGATGCGGACAAGAAGGAGGGGAAGAAGGAGCGGAAGGAGATGCTGCTGCCCATCGAATTCTCCGACCGCTTCAACCAGGCCCGCGCCAGGTCGCACGGGGAGTTTGTGGACAAGAACGAGTGGGAGAAGCATCCGTTCGATGACGTCGGCAACGACCGAGTCTCCAACAAGGACGAAGATCGCATGGCCTCCTCCTCCTCCTCCCTCGTCCATGGCGAGTCAAAAGTCCGAGAGGACGGGCACATCAACGACCCCTATGGCTTCCAAGGAAGCGCCCACGCTGAGGTTTGCGCCTGGTGCTTGAGCTGGAGATCAGCTGACTTTCTCTCAGATTCCTGTCTCTTCTGCCAACTCTCCTGACACCAAGAACGGAGGCCTCCCTGACGGGTACGATGCAGCCCCACCTCCATCTCCACCTCCCTCCTCCTCCCTCCTTTCCCTTCCCCTTCCCTGCTCGTGTTCTCCGTCTCTTCCAGCTCCTTTCTTCCTTTCTGTATCCTTATCCTCTCCTCCTCGTCTACCCAACTCTTGTCTCCTCACTCAGCCCATCTACCTCCTTCCCCACTTTTCCCTCATCCTCTCTCAGATTTCACCTCGGAGTGGGAGCGGCGACGAGCGGCAGCCTCGACAAGGGCTCGAAGCTCTGCGGCCTGGTCAACTGCTACAGCCGCGAGGCGATTCCTCTCCCTCCCGCCGCCATCGCGCGAAGAGAATCTCTCCGACAGACCGTCTCGTCCCAGCAGGCAGCCGAGCTCAAGAGAGCTCAAGTGAACAGTCAGGCAGCCCGTAAGGGTTCAGCTGGGGCCAAGGCGTGGGGCCTCCCACTCCCCTTGTAGAACTTAACGAGATCTCCTTTGTTACAGAGTAAATGCGTTTGATCCTCCTCAATTTTCTCCTCCTCCTCCTCCTCCTGTCTCTGCCCACCCTGCCTCATATTTTACACCTGATCGCTTCCTACTCATGCTTGGTATCTTCGTTTCCGCTCTCCCACTCCACGGCTTCAAGAGCTTCTTCAAGAGCATCCATTCCCCCTTCTCCAGCCTGTTCAAATCTCAGCCAGTCTCCTCCTCGTGTTGTCCCTCTCACCTGCCACATCGCGTGCTGTACGGCCTCAAGGAAGTTCTGTTGGCGACCTAAAACATCCTTGTCACTAGCCATCCCGCTTTCCCTCCCTCACGCTCTCCTCTTGCCCCTCCCCTCCCTCTCTCCTCCTTCTCCTCTCCTTCCTCCCTCTCCC